ATACGTGGGTCCGTTTTTTTCTACTTGCAGACAGAAATCCTGGACGACGACAAGAGGCTGATCAGTGCTGTGGATTACTATTTCATACAGGAAGACGGAAGTCGGTTTAAGGTGTTGATTCAGCGCTTCATCGTGGCAAAGATGCATTTTGCTTTAAAGCAATAAAGATCGCAATTACTATGTCATCGCCTGTGATACATTACCTAATGTATATCCCGGCTTCTATCTTTTGCTTGTAGGCGGCCCTCCCCTTCAAGCCATATTTCTACGTAGCCACTAAAAAGGTATGTCAAAGTCTCCTTATAGGCCTCTTTTATAAAGCTGAGACATTAAGAAGATGTTAAAAATATTAACATTATGAATAATCTCTTCCTCCATCCAGAACTGTGAGAGAGAAGTCATCTCGTTTCTGTCCAAGAAGTACCAAGGCAAAGTGGCCAAGCTGGAAATCGTCCCCAAGGAGGACCTTGACCTGGTGGGAATACAGATGATGATGATGATGATGATGATGATGATGATGATGACATGGTTTTCACTATTTAGATTCAGTCCAGTCCAGGTCCACAATCTGGCACTACATTTAACCAACATATGAATTAGTATTTATTGACCTGTTCACTGCAGCCTAACCACCTGGTCGGACTAAAGAGAAATTACATCAAGCTGTACTTCAACACCGTCGATGACCTCATCAAGGTCCGGCGAGAGATCTCTCCGGCCGTCCGCAAGAACCGAGAGAGAGAGCAGTCCAACGATGCGTACACCGCCATGCTGTCCAGGTACCGGTCGAGGAGACATCCAACACACTCAGAACAAAACAGCAAGAAATGTATACCTGTCTTAGCTTCAGAGATGTCTTTATTGTCTATCAGGACTGAGAGAAAACGGTCTTTAGACGTGGCTCAATAAAAAATGACATTAGAAACCACAACTTGAAAGTCAATCTAGTTAGTTAGTTGGTTGTTGTTTTTATTTTGATAATTTGAATTCAGTTGCGACAAAGTAAAATAGCAAGACAAAACAAGAAAATACAATATATATTAAAGGGGAAAGTGGCAGGAAAAACAACACTTTTCCTGGTGTTTGGCGTTGCTTTAGTGGTGGTTCCTCCTGCTCACATGGGTCGTGTGTTCCTCAGTGCCTTGTCGGGCGGGAACATCACGATGGAGGAAGAGGACGGGCGGTACAAGAAGATCTCAGACCAGCTGGACAACATTGTGGACATGAGGGAGTACGACGTCCCCTACCACATCCGCCTGTCCATCGACCTGAAGATACACGTGGTAAAGCAGTGGTTCTCTAAACTAAGCTATTTTTATGATACTTTCCTCCAAGTACCCCCTGCAATCCTTCAGAGTACCCCCATTTTTAAACCACTGTGGTAAGGCACAGGGAAGTTTGTTTTTGATTTCTGACTTGATTTGTAATGTGTATTCTCGGCCTCCTGATGGCTCCCTCCTCTCCTCAGGCTCACTGGTACAACGTGCGATACCGCGGCAGTGCGTACCCTCCTGAGATCATCCGCAGAGATGACCTGGTGGAGCGACCCGTACGAACTTCTCTTTCATTTCCTAAATATCGAGTTCATTTTGCCAGTGGACCACAGCTATTTTCTAGTTGGCTTCACATGCGTTTCTTTCTGTTCTTTTGTAGGACCCAGTAGTTCTGGCATTTGATATCGAGACCACCAAACTGCCTCTGAAGTTCCCCGATGCAGAGACAGACCAGATTATGATGATCTCCTACATGATCGATGGACAGGTGTGATGACTATTATTATTTTTCTTCTTCTTCTTCCTCTGGGGTTGTGTTCCATTTCTGCGTTCTGAAGTACTCGTTTCCCACCACTGTAACTTATCTGTGTCTTTTTGTTTTGAAGGGTTACCTCATCACAAACCGAGAGATTGTGTCCGAGGACATCGAGGATTTTGAGTTCACTCCCAAGCCAGAGTACGAAGGACCTTTCACCGTTTTCAACGAGGTTGACGAGGTACGCTGAAGAATATATATATAATATCAAACTGATAAAGTACGTTTACATTACAAAGAATATATGATATTAAACAGATCAAGTAGTGGGTCATTTGGTAGATTATTTTATCCAGAGCATATTACAAGTGAGGCTGAGAACAATCAAAGCATTGAATCAAAATTGGAGTGCAGGGTAGCAGTGCTACTAACTCAAGTACTGTTTAAAGCCGTATTCCAGTGTAATACATAGTTTAAAGAACATGTTGTTTAAAGCCTTATTCCTGTGTAATACATAGTCTAAAGAACACATTGCTTAAAGCCTTACTCCAGTGTAATACATCTGTCTACTACGTGTCTACTCTCTTCCAGGTAGCCCTCATTCAGAGGTTCTTCGATCACATTATTGAGACCAAGCCCAACATCTTTGTGACATACAACGGAGACTTCTTTGATTGGTGAGCTCATACAAACTCCCGCCCTCCCTCTACACTCCCCGCCCTCCCCTCCACACTCCCTGCTCTCCCTTCCCCACACTCCCTGCCCTCCCCTCCATACTCCCTGCCCTCACCTCATCTCATACCTCACACCTGCTTCCTTTATATTTTCTTTCTAATGTTTCCCCTCTGCAGGCCCTTTGTGGAGACCCGGGCGACGCAGCACGGGCTCAGTATGTACAAGGAGATTGGCTTCCAGAAGGACAACCAGGGGGAGTACAAGTCCTCCCAGGCCATCCACATGGACAGTTATAGGTCTGCTCTCCACTAACACAGTCCACTATCATATGTAACTTTATTACATGGCTTTGTTGAATACTCGATTCTGATTGGCATTCTACGGTCTGTTATTTATGATGTGTGTGTGTGTGTTGAACTGTTTCTGTGCATCAGTATAGATGTGTGTGTTGAACTGTGTTTCTCTTTGTCAGGTGGGTGAAGAGAGACAGCTACCTGCCAGTGGGAAGCCAAAACCTGAAGGCAGCAGCTAAAGCCAAACTGAGCTACGACCCCGTGGAGCTGGACCCAGAGGAGATGTGCCGCATGGCCACCGAGGAGCCACAGGTAAACACACACACACGTACACTAGGGCTGAACAATTCATTGAAAGGAGTTGCAATTTTTGATAAGGGAAAATGTGTAAATATACATTTATTACACCATGATAAATGAAGTACGTTAGTGCTGCAGAGATGCCCTGGCCGACACATGTTTCTCTCCAGATGTAACAAAACATGTTTGTTTGGTACAGACCCTAACAAATGTCATGTCATGATTTTAATAGTTTTTTCAGTGAACATCAACATTGGACGGGTGTTTCCTTGTCTCTCGACAGACTTTAGCCACCTACTCTGTGTCGGATGCCGTGGCCACATATTACCTCTACATGAAATACGTTCACCCGTTCATCTTTGCTCTGTGCACCATCATCCCCATGGAGCCTGATGAGGTTGGTCTGACAGTTTGGTCGTGTATTTTCACATTCATGATGAATTTTGTATTGCTTGTTTATGCCACCATTATATCTGGCCATTTTGGCACCTATCGCAATCCTAACTGTCCCTGGAAGGAGGGATAACCTCTTCTGGGGGTGTCATATGATGTGGGCTTGCAAAGACTGTAACTGTAATTCTTCATTCTTGGTTTGTGCAGGTGCTGCGTAAGGGTTCTGGGACCCTGTGTGAGGCTCTGCTCATGGTCCAGGCTTTCCATGCCAACATCGTGTTCCCCAACAAGCAGGAGCAAGTGTTCAACAAGCTGACGGACGACGGCCACGTCCTGGACACTGAGACCTACGTCGGGGGCCACGTCGAGGCCCTGGAGTCAGGGGTGTTTCGCAGCGACATCCCCTGCCGCTTCAAAATGGTACGGCCCTGTGTGGTCCGGTGTTGTCCCTTATTGGTGGTTCTCTGTTGGGGATGCTCAGTGTGTGTGTGACCCACGTGTGCGTCACACACGTTTTAAAGTGCGTGACTTTTACATTACAGACAGTTGAGGACGACATTATCAACAGTATATGCTACGTTATTGAAACTATACATTATTGTACATTGTGTTTTGTGTGCTGACAGAACCCGGCTGCATTCGACTTCCTGTATGAAAAAGTGGAGAACACGCTGCGCCATGCCATCGAGGAAGAAGAAAAGATTCCCCTGGACCAGGTCACCAATTTTAACGAGGTCGGTTACATTTTTATTATCTTTTACTTAGTATTATTATTATTATTATTATTATTATTATTATTATTATTATTATTATTATTATTATTATTATTATTATTATTTTAAGCATTGGTGCTGCTGTTCTCAAAGGTTGGCCATGTTATTATTATTTTTTTTAATTTTATCGTTTTTTTGCATTCTCCTTTCCTGTATTTTTCTTGTATGTATCTTATTGTTCAAATTGTATTATGTTGTTCCTTGTTTTGTTGTATGCTTTACCACACCAAGCACATTGAACTACATATGTTTGTATAACATGTGTTGTGCAATACAAATAAAGTTGAATTGAATGAGTCCATGTTCCATGTCCAGGTGTGCGAGGACATCAAAGCCAAGCTGGTCTCCCTGAAGGAGGTGCCCAACAGGATCGAATGCCCCCTCATCTACCATCTGGACGTGGGCGCCATGTACCCAAACATCATCCTCACGAACCGCCTGCAGGTAACGCATGGAATACATACATATACCATACATGATGCATGTATTGTTTGTTGTTGTGTTGTTTCACTCGTTAAGCTGTTTTATTGCACAGCTTTGTTGAATACTCGCTTCTGATTCTGATTCCATGTAATAAGTGGGATAATGTACAGCGGCTCACTGTACATGAAGGGGTTTATTTCACAATAATGACCGGCCGTCATTATTGCAAAATAAACCCCTTAAGGGTGATTCAAGTCCCCTCCGAAAACCAACCTGTCGGGGTTTATTTCTCAATAATGTATATTATCCCTTACGTATTGCTGTTTTGCACAAAATGTGCTCTATAAATACAGTTTAATTTGGTGTATACTAATGCTATCCTGGAGGGCAAAATGCTCTAGTCCAGCGGTGAGGGTGTTTGACTCCCTGGGGAAATGTTCTGGGTTCGAACCCCAGGAGAGAGAAGACAACCCAAAAACCCTCATACCGGCTTTTTAATAACATCATGCATCTACAAATTCACTGCAAGGTGCTTTGGGTGAAAGCATGTGCTAAATGACTCGATGATGAACATGTGAACACCCTTCACAGCCTTATGCTATGGTGGACGAAGCTATCTGCGCTGCCTGCGACTTCAACAAGCCGGGAGCCAACTGCCAGAGGAAGATGTCATGGCAGTGGAGAGGAGAGATCAGTAAGACACACTTTTATCTAATCAGGGAGGACCTCAATGACATTGAACATCTATTTTTGTAGAGTTCCCTGGTCTCTGAACTGGGTAATAAATGGGGATAAAATGGGATGATACAAATAACTATTTGCAAAGCACGGTCACAAAGTGTTAAAATAAGAGAATTAAATATACAAATAATACTAAATACAAAAATAATTGACAGGATGCAGTAGGATAAAATCAATTTTATAAAAATTAGTTAAAGGGGAGCCGTTGTGCTGAGCTGTTTTCTAGTATAACAGAGTACTGCTTCATACGCGTCTTGTCATTTTTCCGAATCAGACCAACAGAGAACAGAAATCCCTGACGAATGATGCCAATGGTTGATGTTGCATTTTTGTTTTTTGTTTTTTTTTAAGTATTAGGTACTAGTTGAGCAACCATAATCATAAACGCCACATAATAGTGGGCTAGTGTGTAAAATGTATTTAATCTTCTCTCTCTGTCTCCAGTGCCTGCGAGCCGCAGTGAGTTCCACCGCATCCAGCAGCAGCTGGAGTCTGAGAAGTTCCCTCCGTTCTTCCCCAACGGCCCGCCCCGCGCCTTCCACTCGCTCAACCGAGAGGAACAGGCCAAGCACGAGAAGAAACGCCTCGCAGGTGAGCAAGGCTTGGAGAACATAAAAGATAACTATCAATGATCAATTGTACTTAATTACTATTAAATATGAAATTCCCCTTAGCTGTTCTAAAATCACTGTAAACCACGGCCTCGTGTTGCTTATTTCTACCCTTGGGTCTTGGAGTTGTCTTCTCTAACCATCCATGTCCTCTTCTGTGTGTGTGTGTCAGACTACTGTAAGAAGGCCTACAAGAAGGTGCATCACACGCGGCTGGAGGAGAGGGTGACCACCGTCTGCCAGAGGGAGAACTCCTTCTACGTGGACACGGTCCGCGCCTTCAGGGACCGCCGGTACGAGTTCAAGGGCCTGCACAAGGTGATCACTTCAGTCATTTGACTTCTTTGTTTGCATGAAAGAAAAACATATTTCCATATTGCCAAAGCGTAATGGATAGCAAAATATCAACGACAACACAGAATATATATATTTTTTAACGTATTTGCTAAAGTTAAAGTTTGTGTTTGTCGACTCCCAGGTGTGGAAGAAGAAGCTGTCCTCAGCCCTGGACAATGGAGACGCTGCGGAGGCGAAGCGCTGCAAGAACATGGAGATCCTGTACGACTCTCTGCAGCTGGCCCACAAGTGTATCCTCAACTCCTTCTACGGCTACGTCATGAGGAAGGGGTACGAGGCACTCGTCTCCCATAATAGCCTTCACCAGGACATTGGCTACAAGGAGGAAGCTGTTGTTGTAGTTGGGCTTCAGATTCAGTACTTCATTCACCCCAGGGGGAAATTGTTATTGTCACAGCTGCTCTGCTCATGGTGGCAAACTAATAATAAGAAAATAGAGAATATAAACACATGCTACCAGAGTCCAAAGTCATGTCTTAAATGTGCTCGCTTTATCTGACAAGCAGCCAAAAGTATTATAGTAAATTTCTGAAGCATTAAGCAGCAAATGTTTGGATGCTGTGCTGTGTTTCCTCAGGGCTCGGTGGTACTCCATGGAGATGGCTGGCATCGTGTGTTTCACCGGAGCCAACATCATCACCCAGGCCAGAGAGCTGATTGAGCAGATAGGGTGAGTAGTGAGTACCACGACCGTCTGACGCTGGAATACTGTTTTTTTACAATCTAAAATAATGACCCACATGAATTTTATTACAAGCCACGTCATGCAGGTCTGTAATAAATAAAATAAAAAATACTTGTGTGTGTGGGCGGGGGGATAATTGTGTTGGTTTAATTATTTTCCAAAAGCGAACTAACTGATTAGGCTATCATTTTCACTGCCTTCTCCAGACGTCATCATCCATGAAACAAGTGGTCTGGCGTGCTCTGCTTGGCTGACTCTTTCTCTCACTCTGTTTTTCTGTCTCTCTCTCTCTCCAGCTGTCTTTTCTTTGGTAGTGAAGAGCAGGGGATTGTGTATTTTAGTATTTTGCCATTTGTATTTAGTTCTGCTAGTTTATTGTTCATATAAACTAGCAGAACATACTCCCAGGTCACACCTCCCAACCCCTCTGTTTTCAAAAATTCAGGATAGTGGGTGGAGACATGCCTAATTAAATCTTCTTAATCTAAAACATACAGTAAATTCACCTTTAGTTTCCTTTTAATTACATTCCCCCTTTTTTCCCCCCTCTCGCTCTCTCTCTCCGTGAACCAGACGTCCCCTGGAACTGGACACGGACGGTATCTGGTGTGTGCTGCCCAACACCTTTCCCGAGAACTTTGTGGTGAAGACGAGCAACGAGAAGAAGCCCAAGGTGACCATCTCCTACCCCTGGCGCCATGCTGAACATCCTGGTGAAGGAGGGCTTCACCAACGACCAGTACCAGGAGCTGGTGGACCCCGCCACGCTCACCTACGCCACCCGCGCCGAGAACAGCATCTTCTTCGAGGTGGACGGGCCGTACCTGGCCATGATCCTGCCCGCCTCCAAGGAAGAGGGCAAGAAGCTGAAGAAAAGGTACAACAAGCGACGTGTGGAATAGTGATGCTGGTACTCCTTCTATATGCCTTGTTTATTTCAGCATGTGAAAAATACTTGATGGTTGCTATTTAGTCATTAACAGAGAGCGAAAGAGAACTTGGCGAAAACAAATCTCTTTGTGATTGTGATGAGCGTGGGAAGCGTGACATGCAGTGAGCAGTGCTACATGAGCGAGGGTGATGATGTTAATGTCCGGTTGTTCAGGTACGCCGTGTTCAATGAGGATGGCTCCCTGGCGGAGCTGAAGGGCTTTGAGGTGAAGAGGAGAGGGGAGCTCCAGCTTATCAAGATCTTCCAGTCCTCCGTGTTCGAGGCGTTCCTCAAGGGCACCACGCTGGAGGAGGTGTACGCCTCCGTGGCCAAGGTGGCCGACTACTGGCTGGACGTCCTCTACAGCAAGGTAGTGCTACCGTCAAAACATATGTTTTAATGGCCTCCACCGACACATGGGACACAGGTAGAGGTTGTAGGTTTATCCTGTGTAACTCGATTACTCCCATGCACCACAGGTGTGCAGCCCGTTTGGTATTTGTACTTGATAAACGATGAATCGATGAATCGAAAATGTGATTCTCTGTCAAACGACTAATCATTTACTTGACTGATTGCTGCAGCCCTTTAAAGTACCATCTGATATCGTATCTCGTCAGGCCGCCAACATGCCGGATGCCGAGCTGTTTGAGCTGATCTCGGAGAACCGCTCCATGTCCCGCCGGCTGGAGGACTACGGAGAGCAGAAGTCCACGTCCATCAGCACCGCCAAGCGCCTGGCTGAGTTCCTGGGCGACCAGATGGTGAAGGACGCAGGCCTGAGCTGTCGCTACGTCATCTCCAGAAAGCCAGAGGGGGCCCCGGTCACTGAGAGGTAGGGCAAACGATTTGGGGGCAAGGGTCAAAACTAGGGGCCTTTTTGTGTTTTTAATATTTGTGTTGAAAAGCTTTGTATTCATAACTATATTCTGAAACCTGATATGACCAACCTGTATCTCCTGTATGTCCGTCAGAGCCATCCCCCTCGCCATCTTCCAGGCGGAGTCCAGTGTCAAAAAGCACTTCCTGAGGAAGTGGCTCAAGACGCCCAGCCTGCACGACTTGGACATACGTCAAGTAAGTCCTCAACGATACTTTTATTTAGATTTGCGTCTTTTTTTAAATTTACTTTTACTATTTTTCTATATATTTTTTTAATAACACATTTCAGTATAAACAGATGAGGAGGAAAATGAATCAACTAATAGAGGCTGACTCTAGGCCCTTGATGAAAGTTTTCAAACATTTGAAGTTCCTTCATTTTGAGGGCAGTTTTAAACGCGCTCTGGAATTAATTTGTCGGTTGCTTTATTTTGCCTGTCCAGATTGTGGACTGGACCTACTACATCGAGAGGCTGGGCAGCGCCATTCAGAAGATCATCACCATCCCAGCAGCTCTGCAACAGGTGACCTACTCATACCAGGGTTTCTTAACCTGTCGCCTGATAGGGCTTGTACATCAGAATGCATCATGGGATTTTTTGTTGGCGATACTGAGGGGCCATATTGAGAGGAGTCAAGAGAACTGTAGTACTGTAAAATCCCAAATCAACGTGTGACGTCACGATGAACAAGCCTTATATGATTTATGGTGTCACAGTAGCTGAATTATAAGCTAAAGATATGTGATTTTTGATAAAAAATGTAAAGGTCTCATAAAGGTCTTGTATATACAAACAGTATGATATTGGTAGATGTTGCTTGGGTTAAACGATGTGTGGGGAAGCAGACAGATGCACAAACATGTAAGCAGCTGGGGTCGCAAAAATGTTCAGACCCAAAAATGGGGTCACAGGTCCAAAATGGTTGGGGACCCCTGCCTTAAAAAACACAGTATTATCCAGACTGAGCAGATCATGCATACATTGGAATGTACTCATGTTGTGTGTCTTGTGTTCACCAGGTGAAGAACCCGGTGCCCAGGGTCCGCCACCCGGACTGGCTCCACAAGAAGCTCCTGGAGAAGAACGACATCTACAAGCAGAAGAAGATCAGCGAGCTGTTCACCAGCGAGGGCAAGAGACAGGTCGGTTACCTAGCAACGTGGTCAGCGTTGTCACACACGCACAACAAACAATCTGCATGTAATGTCTATTTTTTAAATATAAAATACTACAATAAAATATAATAATAATTAAAAAAATACAAA